TCTCAGTGACTCGTTAAGTGCTTTTTATAACGGCAGGCGGCATCGATTTCCACGATTTCCACCTCCATTAGCGATCGATGATTGATTCGATTTCGGTAGCAAATTGCTGGAACATTTGTTGCATGCGGCGAATCTCTTATTTAATCAAATGTGGCACAGCGTCTGTGTGCCTGCGTGTGTGTGCAGCTCTCGCGCTCTAGACTGCGCGTTTGCGTGTGTGTGCAAGTGTGTGTTATTTGCTTTACCTCAATTGACAAAGCGGCAAAAACTAACAAAAGAATTCAATTAAGAAGCGACGCGATGCTCATTTTTTGGCGTAAATTCAATTAATACGCGAAAAATACAAAAGAATATAAAATAATAAGAGAAAATATTATATATATATATATAATCACAGACGCAAGAGGAATAAAAATTATAATAAGTACATAGTGAAAATTGCGAACACAAAAATGTGTAGTAAATCGAAAAGAACCAAAAACAAATAAAAATATAATGGAACTAAAGTAAACATAAAAATTATGTAAAAAAAAAAAACAAAAAAAAAACAAATACAAATGATAAATCATAACGAACAAATGGATCCCAAATGAGATGAAAAAATAATATAAATAATATTAAAATATATATTTATACAATTATGTAAATACAAACAAATAATAAAGATAGATAATAATGAAGAGATAATTTTGAAATATAATAAAAATATTCTGCTTATATAATAAAAATAAAATAATATCCATTAAAAAAAAAATTGGTAATGAACGAATAACTACAAATTGGGATATAAAAATATTATATAGATAAGAAAAACATTTTGTTAATAAATTGCATACATATGTAACATAAATTGAAAAAAAAAAATGTATTTTAAGTAAATAAATTTCATTAAATAAAATAAATAAAATTTTAATAAAAAATTTAAAAAAAAAATAAATAAAATGGATCAATCAAATTTCATTAATTTGTGGTAATAATTTCAATAATTAGTCAAAGGCTAAAAACTCAAATTAGGGACTACAGAAAACAGGAGGAAACAAATATAAATAAATACAAAAATTGTAACTAAAACTGCAAAAGTGTGTGGATTGATAATTAAATAAAATGATATCTCAATTACAAGCAAAATATTTTGCAGTTAAATATTAAAAAAATAGGAATTATCAATAACTAAAAATTCGTAAAAAATGTGTTAAATAAAATAAAAAACCTGCTAATGATTTATCTCGTGCGGCTGTTGGTTTGCTTTGTTTTGTTGTTGCCGCTCTGATTACCTTAATTGCGTGTGCCACGCCCACAAATAGCTTTGACGCCCATCAATTTCATTTGTGCGTGTAGAATTTTCATGAATTCTACATTTTGCCGCTGTCTTTGGCGTTTTGGTTGTTAACATTTGTTTTTGTTGCTATTTGTTTTCTGTTTTTGTTGCATTTACATGCTAAATTATTTTTATTGCTCGCCGTAATTAGCAAATTGTTTTTATCCAGCTGCACAAATGACGTCACAAACGCAAACAAAATATCATTTAATTGTTTAGATATACATTTTTTTCGTGACTGCTTTGCCAAACAAGCGACGAGCTTTGCGAGGGCTGTTCTATAGAAAGCGATATTTGGTAAATTATTTTTCATGCGCGATTTAAAAATTTTGTATTACACATTTTAATTGACTTTTGAATATATATTTTTAATGCAATAAATATTTTTTAAGATTTAAAAAAAAAAGGTTGTTTATTAAACATTTTTAGATATTTTGAATATTTTATTATTTACATCTAGATTTTTAAATATATTTTTTAAATATATTTTTTATTAAGAGTTTATGGATTACAATTATTTTTATTTATTTTCACAATTTGATCTTCAATAAATCATTTGAGACTCCGAGATATACATACAAATAAAAAAAAAAATATATAAATATCATGAAAATTGTACGAACTTCCCTCGCATTTGATATAAATGATAGCCCGCTTTACGCAGAAGGGTAGAAAAAGCATTGAAAGAAGGTGAACATAAAAAACGTGGGTAAAGCCTGCGGACACACTTACCTGAGAAGTAGCTAAAGAGCTGAGCCTAAGACGAATGATGTGCGAATTGAATTCGCATAGCCAGAGTTTTTTTCTCTTAAACTTGAAAAAGTAAAAGTACTTTCATTTTTGAAGTTTCTGAAACAAATAAACAAGTGAGGCTAAGCAGAAAAGCCCTTGAACTACTTTGTAATCTTTGGCTATGAGTTGAAACATGTGACTACAGTTTGTATAATTATCTCTGGCACTCAACGCATCCTTAATGGGTTTTAATTGGCTTGTGGCTTTCATTGAAATTTATGACTGCATAAATCGGAAAACTAAACAAAACTCTTATTATTTTATGTATGTTTGCTTCCTCTTTCGTTTGAAAACAACATGCTCTTATGCGGCATTGCTACAATATTAACCAGCAGACAAAAAAAAAATAACATAAAATCAAATTCCATTTTCTTGCCATTTCATGTAAATTATTGCCACAATTTACATATCGTGTATAAATGAGTATGTGTGTGTTTGCGTTTTAAATGTATGAGATTTATCCAAATATTTGGCATTTTTATTAGGGGCCGTCAAAACGAGAGCGGCAAAAGTTGATGTATTTATGTTCAGCTCTTTCCTATATCTTTATAGAATGTATGCATAAATAATTACTGCATTAGCCGCAATAGTTTTGACCGTTTCTCGGTGCCCCACACACGAAACGTGACACTTGGCTATCAGATTTTGCACTTGAGCGCTAATAAAAAACACGCAACACTCGAAGGTTGCGGTTGGGGCACGTAAATACAAGTAGTTCGACACAAAGTCATAAGTACGAGACAGTTCTAGTTATTAGCTTACCAGAAAAACCGTTGATCAATCGAACAGCCAGTTACACTAACCAATCGGTATGTTTTTCATGGGCTAACAACATAATGTATAATAACAGCGATTGCTATTAACTAAGCCATGGTTACTTAACATGTGATGTACATTTCAAAATAAATCAGTACTAGACTTTGTCTGTGTGAAGCAATAAACTTATGTGCATAATATCGGGACTAAATGCTATTAGAAAGGGTATTCCAGCTTCGTGGGAAACTGGGCAACGCTTTTCTTTTACGTTGCAAGCGATCTAATTGATTTTGTTGTGTTTAAAAGTCGCTTTAGCAGCGCTCACATGTATTTATCAGCTTAATTGAGCAACGAGACGCCGCACAAAAAAATAAAAAAAAAAAAAACGAAACTCGGCATTAACACGTTTCGGGCAGTCGCGACAATTAGCGGTTAAATGATGTCAAATGCGATCAGCGTTTGTTTGTTTTTATTTATCAATGGAAACAATGTATATTCGCAGCGTATAACATGAATATAACAGTTGGCATTTCAACCGGCTGTTAGTTAGCAGCGACAGCGCAACGCTCAAAAGCTTGCTATGGTAAATGGCAAGCAGAGCACAAAATGGCTGCCTGTGTCATCAGAACGCGTTTGAGACTCGAGCGAAGCGCACGTGCTGTCACAGAGCAGCGTCCGAAGCAAAGAAAAGAGCGACTAAAAAGAAAACAAGAGGCGCCCCTTACAACTGTTGTCAACAACAAGTGTGTATGTGTGTCTGTGTGTGAGTGTGAGTGCAAGATAAGCGCGCGCTCTCGCTCTCTTCACCTGTGCTTGTGTGTTAAACTCACCACAGTGCTCAACTAGGGGACAGGCTGTGTGCGCTTTTAACAGCGTTTGAAATTATTTGCACACTCACAACGTCTTGGCGAGCACGCGAAGCCAGTTGCTCCTGCGAATTTTAGTGCGAGTGCGAGCGAGAGCGCCAAAGCGAGCGCCGATGTGAGTGCGAGTGCAAGAGTGCCATAAAAAAAGTAAACAAACGGCGTAAGGCATCGTGCAAATAAAAAAGCTAAAGATTGACAAATCCCAAAAAAATAATAATAAAAACAAACAGAGGAGCAACAACATTTTACAGCTTTGCTTGCGATTGCTGTAACTGTTGCTAGTCCTACACACACACTCCACACACACACACACACACATACACGTATTTGCATATGTTAACATATGTATTTAGCTGACTGCCTGTTAATTTAATATAATTTTTATAGATTTTTTCTATTAACGGTTAACAGCGCCACTCACTGCTAGGGCCCAGAGGGGCGTCGAGGGGACAGCAGCAACGAAACGTGTCTATTTAAGAGAGCGAATTTGGCACTGAAAACAAAAAGAAATAAATAGTAACAAAGCATATGCAAAAAGAAAAAGAATTAATAATATGCCAAAAAATTATATCGCTTTTTTTAAGCACGCGCGTGCATAAACAAAAAAAAAACAGAAACAATGATAAATAAAAATAAAAATAAATGCAAATTATTTATATATTCAATCATAAGCGATAAAATGAATAAATACAACAACAACAACTAATATTAAGCTAATGAACTGTGCCCATAATTAAAATTAAAGCCAATTAAGCGAAATTTGTTTATATTTTTATTGTTTCTGGCATTTGAACATGAGATTCAAGCCACGTGCGTTTGCAAAATTTTAATTTTAAAATATTTACAATTATGCAGGTTTTTATTTATGTGCCGTTTGTTTTGACTTTAAAAGCAATTCGAGTATAAATTAAAATTTGCATTCAATAAAATAGTATTTACTTTATACGATCTTCAGTTTCTGGCTTTTAAATTTGGCCGTCATTATAAAACAACAACAACAGCAACTAAATAACTAAAGCCAAAGAAATACTTAACCATAAAAGAAGAAAGAAAACGCAACAGTAAACGAAGCCAGACAGAGCTGAAAGTGTATCAAATGAAGCAACAACAAAAAGAACAACAACCACAAGTCAATCAAAACAACAATAAATTAAACCACCAATTTGTAAAGTGCAACAACTAAGCAACAACAACAACAACAACAACAATAACAACAACAACAGCAGCAGCAACAACAAATCCAACAACAACCGAAGCAACAACAAAACATGTCAGAGAACAGCAGCGACAACAATGGCGACCAACAGAGCCAGGGCCAGGGTGCGGAGGGCGAGGCCGCGGGCGAAAACAAAATGAAGTCGCGTCTGCGCAAAGGAGCTCTCAAGAAGAAGAATGTCTTCAATGTCAAGGATCATTGCTTCATCGCACGCTTCTTTAAACAACCCACATTCTGTTCCCATTGCAAGGATTTCATCTGGTAAGTAAATTAAACAGTTTTAATTAAATAGAACAGTATTTGGGTATGCTGCGAAATAGATTGGCTAACGTACAAATGCTTAAACTATCGCTATTCTTAAAATTCCCAACTGGTTTAAGCATCAATGCTAACATATTAAGCTAAGCGGAATCAGCTTAGAAAGCTGTTTCTGCATAAAAACAAACAATTTCGACGAAATTGGAAAAATTAATAGATAATTAAATAAATTCAACTCAAAGTTTCTATTTTTTAATAGAAAAGCTATCTTAATCATTTTAAAACCCCCTTTAAGCTATGCTCCTCGTAATAAATAGATTTCTAGGCAAGGAAAAAATAAAAAATTAATATAATTATTATTTGAAGTCAAAAATTCTGAAAATTCGTTGAACTGTAAACAAAAACTATTGTTTCTAAGCTTGACTAAGAAACTCTATAGCTCTCAACATTTCAGTTTTCCATATATATAGTCATATATATACATATATATTATCGCTAATGTCAAGAAAAAAACAGAATTTTTCATTAAAGAAGCGCTCAGCTTAAGCTAAAACTTTCCCAATTTGAGAGCTTTGGTGCCTTTTGCTGTTGCTTGTTTTGAAATTAATGAGTACTGTGGTATATGGTTCTTCGAATTTATGTTTTATGCGGCACACGCGGCACGCGTTCGCACTTGTGGGTCTACGCCGCGGCAGCAAAATCGGCGACATAACTAAGCAGCCTACGTCAATCGATATTTTGTCTATCGACAGAGCAGCGAATGGTAGCAACTACAACAAAAACAGCCACACATTAAAGCCAAGCTAATGACATTGCAATGGAATCCAGTTGAAAAGCTCAGCAAGAAAGAATAATTGATATCGAATATACGAAGATTGAATGCCCTAACAAATATGCCAAAGATTTCCATACCTTATTTTCGATGCTACAGAAAATCCTATATAATATAGTTGGCTGATGTTGATACGGATTTGGAAGCTCATAAATGCTGATTAATATTATATATAGTATAAAGGAATTCGAACCAGCTACCTGCCAACTATATGCTGCCTGTACTAAAAAGCCTGATCTATGCTCAGATTCATCCACACTCTGGGGAATATATGAACGCATATGTCGACTCCCTTACTGATACGGTTCAAGAATATATATGGTCTGCGGACTTCTTCCACATGCGTCACATATTTCATAGCCAAATTGTAATACCCACTGCAAACGTATAAAAAGGTCACAGGCACAACATTTTGTAGTCTGCCCTGCCAGTGTAATATTTAATTTAGGTAAAGCCCGTTCTCAAAATCTTGCCTAATCTATTGTTATGCATACAAAATAAACACAAGAAATACAAATTTTTCGGTCAACCCCAACTCCGATTTCGGTTCCTGTTACCTTTCCTGTGGCTCTTCCTGCTTACCCGCTTTCCCTTCCGTTCGGCTTGTGGATTATGAACCAATCTCATGCGCATTAGGTTTCAGTTCCCCTGCCAGACCATAATAATAATTTTTCGACGCCCCGCTTAGAGCGTGTTGGTACCGCAAAACCTTAGCAAACATTTGCGTAGTCTGCCAATGAACCAATAAGTTGTCACTCAACTATATTTAAAAATATTATTGTTTTGTTCTTACAGCGGCTATCAATCGGGATACGCATGGTTGTAGGTATTTCTTACGATATATATATGGAGCATATAAATTTTATATTGCTAGTAAATCATTTTGTTATTTCGCATTCAGATATCAATATTTTGAATATGGCTGCTATTGAAATATACAAAAGTAGCTTATTAAGATTTAATAGTATTAACTTCAGCTTTTGATTGGTTTTTGTTTATAATTCGCAAAGAGTTAAAGCAAAACTACATTGAAGTTCATAGATAAGCACCAGAGCTTTAGCCCAAAAGCTTATTAAAGTCTTGTTCGGGAGTTGTAAGACCTGTTGTAAGCTGTGAGCTTCCGATTATCATAAAAACTTACGATCCAAAGCTGTGTCCTTTAAGGCTTGTCCATTCCACCTTTTCTGGGGCGTTGAATTTAAATATTACATTTTCATCGATTTCTCAGAGCCTTCCACATACACAAAAAGGAAAACTAATTGATTGTAAATATGCATATTTAAATATTCGGCTAGTTAATTAAAATTAAATGAATTGAAAACAATATTCATAGTTTGGCGACAACTTTGGTAAAAGTTTGTTCGGCTTTCATTTTAATTAATTCAAATTTAAAATACACAATGTGCTGCGAAAATGCTTGCAAATGTCAAAGGCCTAATCATTGCGTTGACAGTTAAAAGCCACACAATGAAAATGACAAGACAATTAATTGGAAAATGGCTGTTGGACTCCCGAGGAGGTGGGCACATGTCAACAAGTCTATGGGAGGCTGTGTGTCGCCCAGCATTTGGGGCGTGACGCTGCCTCTTAGCTAATTGCCATAAAACATTTAGCCAATAATTAAATTAATTGCTGCTTAAAATGCGGCTCAACGATCTGACTATGACCAAAAAGAAGCCAGACCCAAAACGCAACTAAGCCATGTGAAACTGAGACAACAAAAGCGACAACAACAACAAAACGCTGAAAGATACATTTGGCGATACTTACAGATGCGTAGATACTCTGCTGTTGTTGCCGCCTGTTGTCGCCTGTTGTCTATTGGCCACATTGCGTACGCCTCTTTTGGCCAACAGCAGCTAATTAACAACTTGAGTTACAACTCGCGATTCGTTTCGGGACCCGTTTCGGCTTTTTAATTAATAGTGTTGGCTCTTTGGGTGCACACGTCACAAAAGGCGTTGCAGGCACGTAGCCAACGCAACCAAATGAGGCGCCACAGCAGGCAAGCCAGGTGCGACTATGGGGTACAGGGTGGGGATAGGGGCGGTTGCCTGTGCGCCCCCAGGTGGCTAACTGTTTTGGGTGTATCAAGTGAAAATTGCCGCCGTGTTTATGCCACGAAATTTGCATAACAGAGCCGAGAAAACAAAAAATAAATGAAAACAACAAAAAGTGATGGGTCGAGTGTAATTGATTTGTAGATACCCTGTACCCAGCTTCGAGCTGCTGCAGCGTGAGGCCACACCTTTTTCACGCACACGTAAGCCGCAGCTCTGCTTCGTTACTCAGAAATGAAAAATACATTTTAATATATTTTGTATTTATTCTCTGACTTAAATTAAATGAATATATAGCATAAAAATGGCGTTATACCCATTATTAATGCTATGTCTCCGATGAGAAAGAAACTTTTAGATCTCATTGATCTGATCAATATTAATGTATTAAGATTGGCATTCAGGTATGTGTATATATAAACAAGCCTATATCTCCGATGAGAGAGGAACTTTTAGATCTTATGGGTCGCAATGACCTAAACAACTTTACATGCTTTCTCTTAATCCAATACAGGGTATTAAAAATATATCAACTCTCAATTACCGCACGCTGTTTTTTATTTTTGATATACTCAAGATATATTCCCATCTAAATGCACTCAGGTTAACACGTTTTTTATGGCTCAGCAGGTGGAGGCGGTTGGCTGTTTTATGTTTTTACCAAATCGGATAACGAAAGTGTTTGCTAACAATTTGTTTATGAAAATGTTTGCAGCAATTTTCCCGATAGCGACTGCATTTGTGAAATTTAAAAGCAAATTCATAAATTGTTAGGTTTTATCTGCGATAAGCAAAATAATATGTCAAATGAAAATTTGATGCATGGGTAATATAAATAACGCAAATGCCAAAAAGGAAGTAAAAAATGTTATCACAATTATTGATTGCCTACAATAAACTGTAATGACACGAGCTGAAAGCACGGAAATATTCGATAAGTGGAAAACAGGCAGCAGCATTTGAATAAATAAAGAGCTTTTTGATATCGAACCAACGTGCTGGTTCAATATTTTTAATTTTTTAGCTTGGATTCACATTTTTGTTATAAATCTGAGCTTCTGATCAAAAGCTAATTGAATCTTTAAATAGAGTTTCTTAAAGTGTGAAGCTGCTATCAATCGCAGCTTTCGATTTTGTTGCAACGTGTCAAGCTTTTGATCTTTTGATGTAAGGTATGAAGCTTGAATTAATGCAAAAGCTTGCATTCTGAAGCTGCGACAGCGTTTAATGACTTATAAAGTTTTTCACAAGGCGTTTTTGCTTTTAAAGATACTTTCTTGATATATTTTTAAAATATCAATCAATATATATATTTTTATTGCAAATGTTTTGTTCAACGTATTTTTTCTTTTAAATTTCCGTTACAGTTCCACAAATTCCTTTTTTTCGATCAAGAGCTTTGAACGCTTTAAGACAGTCAATAAGAAAATGTTTTTTTTGATACTCAAAGTAAGAAGTTAATATGGAGACGAAAAATATATTTACAATATATTAATAACTTTTCATAAATTTTCATAATTTCGTGTTTTAAGTTGCCAAGCTCTAAATCATTTGGTTAATTTGAAATGCAAGTCACGAGTTCGTAAAGTTTTATCTGCGTAACTTTTTAACTCAATCTTAAATCTCTAGCGTGCACTTTAACGTTTTTGCTTGCGTGTTAAATTAACTCGGATTGCAAACAATTTTCTTCTTTTTTTCGCTTTATTTATTTTCTTTTTGTTTGCCGCACATTTTTGTTGTTGTTTTCTTTTTGTTTGCGTGCTGCAGAAATGCGCTTAATTAAAAATTGAAAAATGCAGGAAAAACAAAATGTGCGGCAGCGGGAAAACCAAGCAAGGCAACTGCTGATAAAAAAAATTGTAGCATAACTGCAGGCGCGGCGCTTGGAAATTGCTTTTCCACTTCATTTGATGCGCAAACAAAAACGCGCAAACTGAAAAATGCACAAATGACAAACTGTCGCATTGACAAATATTTGAAATGAGCTCGTTTGCTTGCTCATTTCAAATGTAATTAAACTAAAATAGAAATTAATTAAAATATAAACTGAAAAATGCGCCTCGGGAAACAAGCTGTGAAAATGTTGTGTAATTGTCATTTCGGGCTAATCGGATAATGTCAATTGCCACGCAGCCGCAATATTTTCATTTTATAATGCGTTTAAAATAATGTTTAAAACACGTTTTTCTTTTAATTGTTTGTGCAACAAAAATTGCAAAGAATAAATTTTGCTGCGCCAAGCCGAAGTTGAAATACGCTTGTGGCATATCGTGGCATATCTTACAAAATACATATTCATAGCCAATTTAATCTATGCAAGGTATATATATATATATATATTTACATATGTTCCGGGTTGAACCAAAAGTACCCGCTGCCAGTGCATAAGAATGCAAATCGCTGGACACCGGGGCAATGGAGAAAATGGGCTGGGCGTGCGATATACACGGTTTATACATTTATATTTATTTATATGCCACATGTGCAATCTGTTTGCAGGCGGGTGGGGCTGTAGGGCGGGTTAAGGCCTGGGTTCAGTCGATAAGCGGCTTGTGGTCAAGGCATTTATGGCTTATGGAATATGCCTAACTAATGCGGGCACTCTTTGCCATCGCCGGGCACATAAGCCCCTTTACAAGCGAACCAGCTCAGCTAACTGGACCCAGGGACGTTGTGCTTAAGCTTAAAAGTGGCCAACACAAATAAGTAAAACACACACACATACACACACACATGCCTGCAGGCGCAGTGACAAATGGAAAGAAGAACTGTAAGAGTTCTTTAGTCGGGCCTGCGAGACGAGTAGATACCCTGAACGCATCGCTCAGCTGCATTTATGTAAACAAACATGCACAAAAACACGCATAAGCACACACATACGGCTTGCGCCGCTTGTTGCGCAGCTTACACTTACGCGATTGTCCTTAAGCTCCACTCTATAAGAAATGCAGTCTTGAATAACTTCGATGCTTAATATCCGATGTGTATGAAATTGTCAGTGCATAAATATGACATTTAAATGTGCGTTTATCCCAAAGCTCAAGACTGTGCCTCGAAAATGTGCGATTTTACAATAATCTGGGGAATGGCAGGAAATTTTCAAACTGTGAAATACTCTGGATGTGTGTTTACTATACAAGAGTCTACATAACAAATTGTATGTCTCTTGTTTCGAAGATATTCTCAAAAAACAAGAGTTCGATATCGATTGGTATCGAACATTAATTTCGCATTGCAAATTTCTGTTGTCAATTTTTAATTTCGAATGTTAAAATAAAAATGTTGTTAAAACTTGATTACAATTTAATTGACAGTTGCAAATATTTCGTAAAATAATTAAATTGAGCGCCGCAAAAAGGCAAATTTACAGTTCAATATTAATTAAATTGCCACGGATATTGGATTATGAAATTGTCAAAGTACATTAAAAACAAGCGCAATAAATAAATAAGCTCCGTAGCAAATGTAAAAAAATAATAAAAAATATATAAAAAAGTAAATGCTTCAGATTGTTCAACTTTTTAAATACAAATATATATATATATATATATATATTTTTAACTGGAAATTGTAAAAATATAAGAAATTGTTTTAAAAGCAGCTTACAAAAGCACCAAACAACCGTCTCTGTCTGTTTGGCTGGAAAGCTTGACCTTTGACCTGTAAAGCAACCCATTTGCTTTTCTATATTAATTATATTGATTGAATTTTATGGCTGGTGACTGGCAAGTGCCTGGCAAAAATTAGCATATTGATTAATAAGTATTTGCTGTGCGGGCAAATTAAATATTTATGCAAAGTGCTTAGCACACACACCCTCACACACACACACACACACACGCACACACAAAGACACCAAGACACCAATACACCTTCTGCTTAGATGTAGGCTCTAATAGCGTCACTGACAAAATTAGCTGTGAAAAGGGGCACAGCTGGCCGGACTGGCAAATAAAACACCTCCATCGGTCGGTGATGCTATTTAGAAAATTGTATCCTTTAACTAGGCTTTTAGAATATACTTATATTGTACAACCTTTTGAATAATGAGGAAGACACTCGTTTTGTCGACCATTAATAAATAAATATAAATAATATAAATAATACACGCACACACAAAAGTCAAACAACAGCAATTCAATTAGAGCAAATTAGCAGGCGCCGCATTTTGCGTGTAATTTAACTAATTTCTAACTAATTTCGCATTGGCATTTTGCAGGGGCTTTGGCAAACAGGGATTCCAGTGTCAAGGTATGTAAATGAACGCGCGATTACAAATGCTTAGAGGGAACTATACATGACTTTTATTTCGTTGCAGTTTGCTCTTATGTGGTGCATAAGCGTTGCCATGAATACGTCACCTTTATATGTCCTGGCAAGGATAAGGGCATTGATTCCGTAAGTGCCGCCATATATAATACTCTACTAAACCCAAGCTTAACTTACTTACTAGGTTTTAGCTTTAAGTTGTTTGCTTTTGGTCAGCATTTTCATGTGTGCGAATCCCAAATTCTTTTATAAACTTATGTTCCTAAAGAAAGTAAATACATTTTATATCCATCTAGCGCTTTTTGGTATTTTGTTTTGTTGCACTGTCAAATTAAACTGTCATTTTAGGGTTTCGGTTCAAAAAAAATATAATAATAAATTCCCGACTCAGCCGTCATGGCTCGGCTCCTGAAGCTCCTGTCAGCTGCTTGGCTGTTGGCTTACCAAAATGTCATTTAGACTTTTTAGCATACCATGAATTTCATATTTGTGCAGCTTCTGCTGACCCGGCTAAGACTTGTCACAAGCGCAGAGCCACAACTCGAATTAGATGTCACGACGTTGAGAGTAGTGACATTTTAGATGAACTCATGGCTGAGTTTATTTATGTTAACGACAATAATATTAACTCTATACGACAGGAAAAAAAATTAAAATAGGGTAAATGCAGCTGAGCTTATTTTAAAGAAAATTTGCCTAGAGAATTTTTTAATTGCAACGAAGTTTGAGGGTAATATAATATGAGGTTTATGTAATTGCAATGAAGTTTAAGCGGAGTTTAACATGTGGATTATGTGGAATAGAAATTAAATTGAATATTTATTACTTAGAAGAAAGTGACTGTAGAAAAAGATGGAATTTAAAATGTGTTGAATACAAATAAAATGAGTAAAAACTAAAAAAATAAATTCGAACTCAATGGGAACTTTTAAGAGTTTGAAAATTTAAAGAAAATTAAATCAAAATTCACACATGAAAATTCTGAGTTTGCACAAATATAATAAAAGCTTTTGGTTAAGTTAAGTAACTTGATAAAATACGTAGAATGCAAATTAAAAAAAAATTTAAAAAAAAGCAACAAATATTTAATACTAACCAAAATTATTAGACTTAAAGTTAGTTGTGCTTATTGTCCATTCAGCAATGTTTTATTGTCATCGTGCTCTCTGTTTATTTACCATAAATTGTACTTTGTATTTTCATGTACCAAACAAAATATTATCTATCAAAATCACATCGCTCACCAAAAAAAAAAAACAAATATTAAAAAACTACTCGAAACTGTGGCACGTTACACGCATTCAAATTGATAAACAAAACAAACAAAATAATATTGAAGGACTCACCAAAAACTCAGCACCATTTCGAACCATTTACATACGCAGGACCCACGTTCTGTGACCATTGTGGTTCTCTACTCTATGGCATTTACCATCAGGGTCTAAAATGTTCAGGTAAAGTCAAGACCCCAGTCTAACCTATCTAAATACCCGTTTCCAATTCTCTTATTCTCTTTCACTTTCTCTTAATCTTTGCTGCTCTTTTCTAACCTATACTATCGCTATGTTTCCGCTCTGTTAATGCGCTGTTAACGCGCTTTTAACCAGCTGTTAGGCCTTTAGAGCTGTCGCTAATTGCTTGCAAACCTTTTAAACTATCTACTTTTTACCTTTCCCCATCTATGTGTGTGTATGGCTATGTGTGTGTCTGGGAGTGTGCTCATATATAAATATTAAAATTATTTTTGCGATAAATTAAGTAACTTGCAGACCTAAAAAGTTAATTATATAAAATATTGTACAGATTTGTGTATAGCTTAACTGTTTAGCTGCCCACATAAAATGCCTAATCCCAACTACCCATGTATATATCTATCAAATTTATAATACCCAGCCTGACCCAACTGCTTTCTCTCTGTGTGTGTGTGTAAATTTGTGGTAATTGTTTGCAGTTGGCAGTGTTTGTTTTTTGTCTGCTGGCACGTGTCCAGAGATGTAGCTCCCTGCCCCCCATCCCCCTGCCAACTGCTAGCAGGCAATTCATTTGCATAATTATGCACAGGACAATGTACAAGCTGTATAGGATACGATACTTATATCTAAATTGTATAGAGTTTTTGAGCCGTAATATAATTAAAATTTCAATGTTTGTGCGGCTGCATGCGGGCCCTCGGCTATGCAGCAGATAAAAGCTAAGCAGAATCTGGTGAAAGTATTATGAAAATATGCAAAATTCTGGCAAACATGGCGCATAATGAGGTTACCTTCCCCGAGGGGGGCAGCTGCAGATTCTGCTGCTCCTGCTTCTTCTGCTACTTTTGTTGCTGAGCAAATATTTAATGCACTTTCGGCCGCATAAATGCAATGTTTCAACGAAAACTTTTCAGAGAGCTCAACAACAATTGTGCTTTGTCTGTGGCAGCTTTTAGATGTGTGTGGGTGGGAGGGAGGGCCGATGGGTGAGGTAGGGACTGGGTGCTACACAGCTATGTGTGTGCCTGGGCGTCTGTCAGAGTGTGTGACCCGAGGGAAATAACTAAAGTTTTTTGAATAAGCGTTCATAAGCGTGTTCTCTCGACGCGATCTCTATCTCTCTCTCTCTCTCTCTCTCTCTATCTCTTTTAATTTCATTCGTAAGCATTTTAGCAAGCGCTTTGAATTTTCGAAATAAAATTAAGGATCGACGATTCAGGCTCGAATTGAATTCGTTGCAAAGCACGTTGAAAACCATGACTCAAACACTTATGCCAAACATTGTAAAATGAAATTCTCTGGAGAACTAAGTGCATTGCCCAGTTGTTGAAAACGCTTTTGATGTTAAAGAGGGTTTGCCACCAAAGTGCCAATAAACGTTACCTGTTCTGCTAACCAACCATTGAGAGCCACCCAAAACAATAGGAGAGCACTTCTAGACCCCAAACAGTCTACTAATGATAATTTGCGCAGCCAAAGTCAAATGCTGTTGGAACCTTGGCAAGTGCCCTCGTGTTGGGTATTGTGTGTGAGTGTGTGTGTGTGTGTGTGTGCGGGTGTGTGTGCACTCAGTCGACTCGAACTTGAGGTTTGCAATATGGCAGAGCTCTTAAGTGCTCGATTTGCGAGTGCTACTGGACTACTGGGGCTGCGGGAAAATCGATGAGGAAAAACTGTAAAAGAAACTTAAAGATGTCATGGCAACTATTTAGCGGGAGCGGATGGTGACTTTTTCTTCTTCTGTTTATCAACGCGTGAGAAATGTAAGCGGAAATTATGGTTGTGTGTGCGTATGTGGCGATGTATGGAAGCTATGCAAATTGTGTGGCACTTCACATCATAAATTTAACTACATTTGCGACACGTGCTCGATAATTCGGTGAAAAGAGAAAGGCAACTATGCGGCTTCCCGGTCCCAAAGACGGCGGCTAACAATGCGCGCAATTTTATCAATCATGCCCAACCCCATAACAAAGGTAATGTGGGTGTGCGTGTGTGGGTGTGAGTGCGAGCGCGAGTGTGTGTTGCTGTAATAGAATCCAAGTGCTCAAGTGTTGCCTTTGTGAGCATTTGAATTGCTCCTGTGATTGCAGACAAGCGCGTTGACAACCGCTTTGAGGGCGAAGTTTCTGAATTGACGCCATGCAAGTTGTACGATTTGTGGCATTGTTGTTGCAAATCGGATCAAATATATATTTTATTACGGCAGACAGAAAGGCGACAGTTTGATAAATATAGCAATCAATTTATCAACGGTCGAATGCCCAGCACCTGTTGGTCCTAGCTTTTATTCATTTTTTCTATTTTTTCTTTTTGTATATGCTTAACAACTGCGAGGAGGTAATAGGGTTTTGTCACGAATCGTGTGACGCATTAAAAGAGATAATAATAATAAATAAATTGTAGCAAAAAATAAATAAATAAATAAAATTAATAAATGTATAAATAAATAAAAAAGGAATTAAATAAATAAATTTAAACATAAAGAAATAAATAATAACTAAAAAATAAATAAAAAATATATAAATATTACATAAATAAGTATATAATAAATAAATAAAATTTCTTAAAGCAATAAATCATCAAAAAGTGAAATAAACATAATTATTATATAAATCAAATGAAAAACAATAAATTAAGAAATAAATGAAAAACATAAATTATAAAAATATTACTGAAAAATAAATATAATAATAAAACGAAAAAATATATATAAAAATATTATGATACAAAATAATAAAATACAAAATAATATTAAAGAAATCTCGAAGTGTACGACTATCATATTTATTATGCATCTAAAGGCAGCATTGAGTCCATTTTCTCTTTCCCTTTTCCTCTTCTTCTTTCGCACAGTGGTACATCAACTGTTTAAGCTCTTCAAGTTATCATTAGATCTTGACAAAACAGGCTTACATCAGTTTACTGTTTTGGACAGATCTTCCTTGCGATCAGAACCTTCAACGCAGGGTATTCAAATTTCGGTTACCTATGGCCAACTGCTTATGTACTTTCTTATGCAATTTGTTGCCAAGTTTGCTATTTCGCAATCATTTGCCAATTTAATCAAATTGAATGCAGGTCCCAAAAGTTTGGGCTACAGCCATGAAAAATCATGCTTATTGTTTGGGGCCAGGTAAATTTGTGCATTTTATTGGCTACACACACCTGAGTGTGTGTGTGTGTTAATTTGTGTACGTTTGCCGAACGGAAATTGAAAACGAATCTAGTTTGCACCACGCTGTTTGATTTGCTTGATTGGTTTTGCCTCATCTGCCAACTGAGCCGTGTGCGACTCTGGTTGTGTGCCAGTCTGTGTATGTATGTGTGTGCGTGTGTGTGTGTGTGTATCATGCCTATAACACTGGCACGCCCCTTATCATGCCCGCTGTCATAATAAATGACATGGCAATTTATAAATGCAATCCCAACACTACGACAAAAACTCTCGGCCATGTTATCAGGACATCAATTCTTAATATGCGCATACTTCTACGTATGTGTGTGTGTGTGTGGGCTGCACAGCATCCTTGAATTACTGCAAAATAAGTCCTTAAGACTGGAGTTGGAATATTGCTGGTAGGCAAAGATATAAGGCGGGCGCTAGGTAGATAGAGCATAGGCGGGGACCACCTTGTGTGTGTGGCAGTGAGAGGCGCGCAATAAACACGCGGCAAATTTGTGAAGTGACAACAGAAAATGTCAAAAAAAAAAACAACGCGTGAGAAATTGTTGCAAATAAATTTATTTTATTTTGCTTTTGGAAAAGAACTCGCCTGGCACGTGGCAAACGAGCAGCTGTAATATGCCCGCCCGCTGACCTGTTATCTAAAAAATGAATAAAATAAAAATACGAAATTGTGCTAAATATGACAGCAAGTCGTGTGTGAGGCCTACGTGACGCAACTGAAAAGTGACCCGTGCAACATGCAATAAATAACTAAATGAGGACTCAGCACAGTTGATGCCACATAATCAGGCATGTTGCGAGCTGATAATTTGGCTTATTTCCGGCACAGCCCAAATACATAAATAATAGCACGTGTTTACGAGCATAAAATACTAAAATATTACGAGTTAAATCAACTTTAAAGGTCTGCTGAAATAGTTTGTTAAAGTAAACAATTTAATAAATAAATGAATATATAAAACTGGAAAATGAGCGTAGAATTTATTATAACTAATAATCTGATTCTTAAGATAGATAATCTTCCGAATATTCGTATTATAACAACACACATTAACACACATTTTTGGCCAAAACCATTTGGGAATTCTAATGGAAATATGTTGTTTGACGCATTTCACTCTCTCTCGTTTCCTTTATTTGCTTTGCTCCCATACAGCTTTCGTGTAATTTAACTTTATTCAACTGAACGTTTTAGCCAAAATAGCGAACTTATATTAAAGCGTACAACTTCCGCTTAGACATCTAAGTGGCATCTAATGCCACCTGTCGCTGTCCCTGTGGAGCAACTTTATAGCCAAGGTTGGCAGCAGAGCCATTGGCAATTGAGTTTTACCTTCAAACAACTCGCATACAAATGCATTTAGTGCAAAACCAAATACACGCTAAAAACTATACAGACGCACAGCCTTGGGCGCCCGCCAAAGTATGCAACACTTTTTTGTGTGTGCGGCCCTGCCAGCCGCAGCAAGGACAGCCACAGCACACAAACACCCCAAGCAGAACCCTCGCACAAATACCCTTTTGTGGTCATCTGTGTGTGTTTGTGGGTGTGTGTGTGTGCTTTTGCGCTTTGAGCTTTGCACTTGGATCGGCTCCATTTTGTTTGTCAAGCGAGATAGTCGACTGAGCATTGCTGCAAGCTGTTGAGCCTTGTAAGACTCACAGACAACAACAACAAATGGCCCAAAACTGCGCTCCTCGATGCTCATGCATGCGCATAATAATATCAAATGTCCTTGCCCACTTTTAAGAAGCCGCCTTGAAAGAAAGAGAAGAAAAAAACAACGATATA